GAGACGACTGAACGAATGAACAACAACAGCAGAGAGCTGCGTGTTTAGAGTCAATTGGGGGAAACTAGATTTGATCTGGATGGAGACCTTGTTAACAGCTTGTTTATTTTAACTTATGTTGTACTGTGAGTTGTATGCTGTATGTGTATGTGTGTGTCAAATGTTTTGATACGGCCAATGGGCTAATCAATAAAACATACTACTTTAAAACAAAACAGATATAACAAATCACACCAGACATTGCTGCTGGGAGATAATTTTATCGCTAGTGGAAGCCAAATTTGGTGCAACTAGAAGAGTCAAGGGGCTGTTCAAAGGACTTGCTCATCAAAAAGTCTGGCACATTGCCTTTGGAAGCCCTGGAGCCACTAAATTATTAGGTATCCCAAAGGCCCTACATTACATGAATCCACTTCTTTTAATTCCTATCTCATTTCAAGCCCTTTCTGTTCTGATCCTGCTATTATTACTAAAGGTTTTCCCCTGACATTAAGTCCAGTCATGTCCGACTCTGGGGGATTGGTGCTCATCTCCATTTCTAAGCCAAAGAGCCAGCGTTGTCCATAGACATCTCCAAGTCATGTGGCCAGCAGGACTTCATGGAATGTTGTTACCTTCCCACCGGAGCGGTACCTATTGATCTACTCACATTTGCATGTTTTCAAACTGCTAGGTTGGCAGAAGCTGGGGTTAACAACGGGAGCTCACGCCGCTCCCCAGATTTGAACCTGCAACCTTTAGGTCAGCAAGTTCAGCAGCTCAGTGATTTAACCCATTGCACTCCTCCTGCTATTATTACATAAGATGAAAGAAGCATGAAATACCATGTTTTGATTTTAGATGCTTTGCCAATACCCTAAACACACCAGATCTTGTCTGATCTTAGAAGCTAAGCAGGATCAGCCCTGGTCAGTACTTAAATGGTAGGCTACCAATTAATACTGGATGCTGTAGGCTGTATTTCAGAGGAAGGAAATGTCAAAACCACCTTTGAATATTCCTTGCCTAAGAAAGCTCTACAAAATTCATGAGGTCTCCTTAAGGTAACAAATGACTTACTGGCATGTATACACAGACATACTTTGCCAAAATTCTTGTATCATAAGGTATGTTTCAGTTTGATGAGACAGCCTACTTATGCACAGGGTTGCAAACTTTTCAGGACAAGTTGAGTGAAAATTGACCAGAGCTACAAATTAGCAAGTACATTGTAGACAGAGATTAGCCCTACTTAATCTCAAATAATGAGACCAACCTAATCACTTACCTGTGAATGTCAATAAGGTCCAAAATCACTAAGGACTTTCAAGAGCAAAAAAAAAAAAAAAGGTTTTTAAACATATGTCAATTAATACAGATCATTGCATGACTTACAAAGCAGCTATTGTCCAGCTCTCTATAGCAATAAGTTTACCGGCAAATTTGATGAAGTTGATACACTTTAAGATTGTTGGTAATACAGAAAATAGCTCTTAGGACTTCATCAGTTGCCACCTCTCCCCTCCCCCATTTCTACACACTTTAGGAACAGTTTAAAAACAGAGCCCATTATACAACACCAGACTACTTCCAGTAGTTCTCTGTGGGACTCCATGGGTCTTTAAACTGTTTTTAAAGTGTGTAGAAATTGAGGTTTTGGAGTTGGGGAGCAACTGTCTTAAGAGCTCTCAATTTCCGCAGAAACTGCTAAAGACACTTTAACTTGGGATGGGAACTGTCAGATTTCCCCACGTTAAGTCGTTTCAGTATTTCATGCAGGTGGGCTTGAAATATGCCTCAATGCTCTTTTTCTCACCTTTAATCTTTTTGCATGAAACTTTTAATGTAATTTTTAAAAATACTTTTTCTTCAGGAAGTGCACAATTTCCATATTTTTTCAGTTTGTTGTAGTTCTGTTTTATCCTTTTTTACACCTAGATTCTGGACTTCAGCAATTCTGAGATTTCCCCTTTTTAAAATAAAAAAGAAAGAAAACTGTATGGGCAGGGACTAGCCTGTGTGATTATCATTTTTTTAAAAAAAATCCTCAAGGATTGTGAAATTCCCATATATTTCAAGTTTTCTGTAGCTATATTTTGTTGGAAATTACAACCTACTACAAGCCTCCACTAGTTATTTGTTATGTATATAATTGAGATTTCTTACTGTATTGTATATGTGTGTATTGGTATGCAGTTTTCCTTAACTCTATGTTGTGGGGAAGGGCTGCAGACCATGTGATCAGTTCTGGGCTTTTTCAGGACTCACACTCCATTTTAGAAACAGTATGCTTTCAAATGCCAGAAGAAACCGTACAGTTTAGACTCTATTGGACTTTCAGACTAGACAGAGACTCTATTAGACTGCTTTAGACCAGTGGTTCTCAACCTGTGGGTCCCCAGATGTTTTGGCCTTCAACTCCCAGAAATCCTAACAGCTGGGATTTCTGGGAGTTGTAGGCCAAAACACCTCAGGACCCACGGGTTGAGAACTACTGCTTTAGACTATGGACTGTTGATTATAAGAAATATGTCCTGTGCTATGTGCACAGAGAAACTACTTCAAATCTATTTGTAACTGGACTGATAAGCAATATACTTGTATGCTGAATAAATGAAGTTTGTGAGTAAACCAACTATGTTACTTTTAAAGAATTCAACTTATTTTTGGTCTCTTGAGAGCAAGATTTAAACCAAGATTTTTAAGGAAGGGTAGATGTTTTTGGGCTACTGAAATAACACTTCTGAAACTCTGTTGTATCTGTGTGTGTGCACGCGCACTGGCATATCTTTATCCCTAACAGTTCAAAGAGATATTTAGGATATCGGTTTAACAGCCAAGAAACCTAATTGCCTTTCATGACCGCTAGGGAGAAGGTTGTCCCAAGCAAGTTTTTAACTCTTCTCAGGGAGATTCCATTTTCCAAAAGGTTATGGCATTATTTTTGCCAAAGGTTATGACTTCTAACAGGGTCATGCCTTTCTAAAGATCTTTTTTTCTCCAAAATATTTTCCCTCTTTTTAGACCTAGATTTTGGACTTCAGCAATTTTAAGATTTCCCCCTTTTAATAATAATATAGTAATAAACCTTTATTTCTAGACCATCCTCTCTTCCCGGAGGGACTTTTAATTTAAAAAGGAAGAAAACAGTATGGCCAGGGATCACACTAGCCTGTGTGATAGCTCAAAACACGGAGGATCACTGCAGAAATGCATAAAAGTGCTTCAGATGGGGGTCAATATATTATCCATTTTCCTTATATGGACTGGAACAAAATGCTATGGTAAAGAAGACGACCCCCCCCCCTAACTTCCCACACCCCACTTCTTCCCCTCATGTAAAGAGATCCTTAGTGGTGAACTTCTATATCCAATTACATACTTTTGGAGCAACTGCTAGTGGAACTGGGCCATTCTTCTTCTCCCACTCTCAACTTCCATAGTGCCCAAGTGTTCCCTAGATTTCTGGAACCGTTTTTTTTTTCAGGTGCATCAGGACAGGAAGGGATAGGAGGGATCACCAATTTGGATATACAGAGTGGGACCCAGGAGATGTAGCACTAAGAAACCGAGACAAATGATGTACTTTGTTGCCAAATAAAACTTACTCTCTCAACTTCTCTCTTCAAGATGTGAAGTCAAGTGGTAGCTTTTCACACTATCATTTCACTCATGTTTTACATGTTTGTTTTCTTCCATAGTTGAACGTGAGGCATGACTCGGTGTTTTATATGTGGTTTTAATCTTTTTGATAGATTGTTATGAGTTTTAATTGCTTATATGCTTCGATTGTTTATATTTTTATGAGATTGTTTTATTGTTTACCTGTGTGGCATTGAATTTTTGCCGGTTTTGTAAGCTGCCTTGAGTCCCCTCTTGGGTCGAGAAAAGCAGGACAGAAATGAAGTAAGTAAGTAAGTAAATAATAATGAAAAATAACCATCTGTTATCTTATAGGTATGATGGAAAATTCTTCTGCTGAAAATGACATAGAAAACTCTCAGGATCAAGAAGGAAAACTTTATGTCGTTGAATCCTTAAACAATTTAAATGAACACAATCACTGTCTGACGCATTCTCATCACCCAGGTATGCATCCAGTAGAATATTTATCAACCAATGTAAAAAACACACACTTCACTATTTTGTGATATTTAAAAGTGTTCTGCAAATGCTTTAGACAAAAGAGACCAGCCATTAAGTGGGTATGTTTAAACCGGTTTTGGTTGAAGGATGTACTCAGCTGAACATGATATCCTCTTGACAAGGCGAGAGTGCCTTCATACCATGTATGTTTGTCAATTATTCTGTCCTAATTTTATTATCATGTATATTTGCCTCTAAAGTATACATGGCAACAAGACTATTTTTAGCTATCTAAGCCCAACTCCCGTGCTATGTTCTCAAAGCTCTTTGGAAATTATACTCATCTGGTGATATTCCACATTTTTTTGCTTGAATAGAGACAGAATCTTGTAATATATTCTAAACTTGATGACATATACAGATAAGAAATCAGACAGAAGGTTACCCACCTCACCAGTTTACAGACTAGGGACCTTCTCACACTAGAAAATGAATCCACTTTAAATCCAGTTGCTGCCTCCTGCAGAATTCTGGAGTTTGTAGTTTAGGGAGGAGCCTTTAACAGGCTCACTAAACTACAAACACTAGAATTCTGCAGGACGCAAAAGCTGGATTTAAAGTGGATTCATTCTCTAGTGTGATGAAGTTGTAGTTTATGTTTTGATCATATCAATTAAGTCATTAGGCAGCCTCCAATTAAGTAGAGTACAGTTAAGTTTCTAAACCCTGATTGAGATTTAGTTGCAAATTCCCTCATATAAAAACCATACTAAACCCACTATATTTAACATTTGGCACAATTGATTCCAAAGGGGGGGGGGGTATTCTGAAGCTGACATTATCATTATTTCTCATGCAATGGTACAAGTCTGTTGCAGAATTAACATCGTGTAGTGGCTTGAACACTGGACTACAACTCTGGAAACACTTGGGAAAGTCACACTCTCTCAGTCTCAGAGGAAGGCAGAAGCAAACCTCCTCTGAACAAATCTTGCCAAGTGATCCATGGAATAGGAAATATATTAGCCATGGTGTGGAGGGGGTCACGGCAAAAATGGGCAAAAGTAAGGATTCATACAGTCTAAAGCTCTAAGTTGTCAAATATAAGATACCTCTTGTGCTGCTGTGTGCCTTCAAGTAATTTCTTACCTATGATCAAGAGTTTAAAAAACAAGCCATATGAGGAATGGCTTAAAGAGCTGGGCACGTTTAGCCTGCTGAAGAGAAGGATGAGAGGAGACATGATGAGGGCCGTGTTTTAATATGTGAGAGGAAGTCATAGGGAGGAGGGAGCAAACTTGTTTTCTGCTGCCCCGGAGACTAGGACACGGAACAATGGCTTCAAACTTCAGGAAAGGAGATTCCACCTGAATATTAGGAAGAATTTCTTGACTCAGAACTGCAGTGGAACTCTCTGCTCTGGTGTGTGGCGGACCTCCTTCTTTGGAGGCTTTTAAACAGAGGCTGGATGGCCATCTGTTGGGGGTGCTTTGATGCGATTTTCCTGCTTCTTGCCAGAGGGTTGGACTGGATGGCCCACAGGGTCTCTTCCAACTCTATTATTCTATAATTCTATACCATCTTCCACAGTTGGTAGGACTCTACTTTTGGCCCCTTCCTATCCCTGTGAGGACTCAATAGTGAACTGACTCAGTAGTGTTCCTACAACTGATGCACAGTATCAAGTAGTTAATTTTCCACAAATGCCCTCAATATAGAATTGATCTTAGGCATTGTGAGAATTTAAAATAGTGCTGCTTGGCACTGTGTGCCTGTTGTTGTTGTTGTTGTTATTATTATTATTATTATTATTTTAAAAGACAGGTAACCAAACTAACCATCAGTTGTGGCAGTTGTCCATTTGATAAGACTTGATGTGGACTGTAATGATATCTGCTTACAAAAGCATAAGAGAGTGACAGAAGAATATCACTTCATTATCTGGAGCCACTCATTCCAATTTAGACTGGCTGCTGGCGTTCAGTACAGTAATTCATTTTCAGTAGTAGAATTTGCAGGCCATTGGAATCTGGAAGGGTTTAAAAGGCTGCAGCGGAGAGCTATTTGTTTTCCTTTTCCTTTTGCTGTCTAGCATGTGATTCCAGAAAGTCATCCATAGAGAGGAATGCCGTTGCCCTCTAACACTGAGTCAGATGCACTCTTTATAGTTGGCAGCTGTTTTGCCAAGAACTCTGTGGTCAGATTTCTAAATCACAAAAACATTTAGGGAAGGCAGGGGTGGAGGACACCTGTCTTGAAGCCATCATTTTACCATTTCATATGGATAATTTTAAATATCCCAACTGGTCATTGCATGCCTTAGTATGTGATAAACCAAAACAAGAAATACCAGAACTCGTGTTTCTGAATTATATCCCACAGATAATTACTTTGTGGCAACTAAACTTGTAGTTGCCAATTGGTTTTGCCAGTAGCTAAATTGCATTTCCATTTTGGTTAAGAACATTAAAGCTTTTATTATTATTATTATTATTATTATTATTATTATTATTAAAAAACAAACAGCCTAGCTGGGTTCCTTGCCACTGAAGACTTTACAATACCTCAGTCTAATATTCTCAGCCAGCTCACTTAGCGAAAACTGTTCATTAGGCAGAGTGGACAAGAGATATTTCTTTGGTACTCAGCCGATAGCTTGCTGTGTTTGAAAGCCTGCACTGGCAGTAGCTATTAGTGTATTTCAGAAGCAGCAGTCAGTTGTAGTGGATCTTAATAAACTCAATACATAACGCAATTCTAACAAAGGAAATTGACAGGTTGGAGGGGAGGATTGGTTAAAAAAAGAGTGCATTTGGATTTGTGCCCTGGAAGGGAGATCGTCAGACAAATCAAAGTCAAAAGTTTACACGGGCCAAAAAGTTTGAGTGTATATTTAGTATGCATTATAATTTATAATATATATTGATGCTCGTTATAAACATAAACCAGGACAAAACCTGAGAATACCAACTCCAATGTTTACAAATATTGGACTTTGGAAGCCCAAGAAGTCTCTCCCCAGAGACATAAAGGAGGTCCAAGGGAGCCAATTAATAGCAATTTGTCATTAGATAAGTTCCCCTTCATAATCATCAATTATTCCTCGCAGCTCCTGTTTCCTGATCCCCGGTCATCCTTGCCCGAGGCATTTGTTTCTGGTCATGTCTAACACCATGTTGAAATATAAAATATTTAAAAGTAATATGACTGGTTAGGTTTTTAGTAGCCAGTAAAGCATTTAAGATGTGTGTGGAATTCACAAAAATATCCCATTGATGCTGTCATTATAATGTGCATCGAAAGACATCCTTTTATTGGCAATTTATGTTGGGGGAGAAAAAATTCCTCCCCGACAGTTACTTCTTTCCAACCTTCCCTTTAAACCAGTTATTCTTAACCTGTGGGCCGCGGACCACCAGTGGGCCATGAGGACGAAAATTTGCTCAGTGAGCCTCCTTCCCCTTTATTTGATTGTATTTCAGCTCCTTTCATGCTGCCTGCCACTCCATCCTTATTGCTGACCATGGCATATGTTCTGTATCAGAAACTAAAGCTGATGTGGTCTATCCAATGCAATTTTTCTGAATTAGCACCCCAAACTGAATTTAAAGTTGACCAAAAATGGATTTGTAATCCTTTTAGTACTAATGTTGTAGAGTGGTCCCTGGTCAAAGTGGTCCCTGGTCAAGTAGTCATTGGTCAAAGGAGTCAAGTGGTTCCTGGTCAAACAAAGTTTGGGAATCACTGCTTTAAATAAACCTTTAAACTTATTAGGATATGATGTTTTTGCTATGCATTGTGGATTTCTGCGCTTGAAAGCTCATGAGATGAAGGACAAGCACCAGTTTTTGTCAACAAATTAAGTGTTGACACTGGTTTGATGCTGTTCAGAGCGAAGTGTGGAATATGTCACTCTTTGGATGTGTCTTGGAGGACTGCATCTGCTTCCATCCTCCTCCCCAGCTCTCCTGATTATCAAAGCAGATAATCCAGATTCCATATAGCATTGTAGAAGGGGCCTGCATCAGACATTCTAGGAACTGTTCTTCTGTGGTTCTCATTCTTGGCAGAAAGAACATGGGGCAAGAGTAGGATTCTTTGGCCTCCAGATATCAATGTACGGCAAGTTCCAGCAGTTCTTTGACATTACAGACCTCATAGATAGGATTATAAATATAACAAAGCATATCTTGATTGTAAGAGCTGTTTGATAAGGCAATAGGCTGCCTGCGGGGAGGGGGGGGGAGTGGATTCTTCTTCTTTGGAAGTTTTTAGGAAGAGGTTGGATGCCCATCTTTCAGAAGTGATTAAATTCTGTCTAATAGGGGTTTGAGTCAGATGATGCTCATCATCCCTTTTTTTTTTCATGTCAGGAGCAACTTGAGAAACTACAAGTTGCTTCTGGTGTGAGAGAATTGGCCATCTGCAAGGACGTTGCCCAGGGGATACTCAGATGTTTGCTGTTTTACCAACCTTGTGGGAGACTTCTCTCATGTCCCCACATGGGAAGCTATAGCTGAGACAGGAGCTCATCCCGCTCTCTGGATTCGAACCGCCTGTCGGTCAGCAGTCCTGCCAGCACTAGGTTTTAACCCATTGCGCCACCGGGAGCTCCAGATATTAAATTGATAAGAACAGATACTACATTGATCCCTATGATAGCCAACTGAGAGCCACATGATTCCCAGATTTGACTTAGGAATTGTTGAATGTTACCTACATTCAACATTCTTTGTGGTAACCAGTCAAGGGTGAGCAAGAACCAGTTATGTGGATGCAGAGAAACTCATCACAGCCTTTTCAATCAAGGAAGTCACTGATAGCACTTTTTGTCAATGACTGGCCCGCCTAGGGGCCAGAACAAAAATAAATAATTCTTCACAATATTATTATTATTTTTAATCTCAAACTGAATTGTATATAGAAAGTGATTTTCAAAAATTGTTTAAACGAAACATGCTAAAGACACTGTTTCCATCGTAATGTTCCATTATAGCCTCATTTTATAATCACAATAACCCTGTGACACAGGACAGGCTGAGCGATATAGCAACCAGCTCCAAGCCACAACTAGCCCCAAGTCATCCAGCAAGACCCATCAAATCTGGATCTCACACATTCAGTTTCAACACTCTAAACCCCTTCACCACATGGGGTTTAATACATAATTTTCACATCAATTTCTTACTATAGCGGTTACAGTTTGCTTCAAGCTTTTTTGGGTGAGGCAGTTATGTACTCCTGGGAAGAGAATCTTAGAATCTTGGCAGGTTTTTCTTTTCTTTGCAGCAGTCTGGGAACACAGAGAGCATACAGAGGGTCCTGGCTGTTTGATGATGCAGAGCAGCCTGAGATGCCAAAGCTGGTTCTTCGTCACATCTATCATTACTTTAATTGTCAGCCTGGCACTTGTTTCTTTTGTAATAATCTTAATAGGTAAGTGAGGGCATTCTTTAGTGCTTAGGATATTGGATACAATGAAATTTAATGGCATAATACATGTTTTGTAACGTGCTTTTATTTTTGATATATGGCATGATAAATAATATAATCAATGCAAGAACAATACACACTATAAAAAAGGTTTGTTAGTAAGTAAGGAGCCCCAGAAGGAGCAAAGAAGCTAATTTTTACATCAGTGGAAAACTAAAAACCAGCCGCCAATTCAACATTGGCTTATTTCCCAGCTGGCAGGAAAGAACAGGTGATTCATATGAAAAGAGACAGGTCATACAATTGGATTATCTATCCCTATGGTGTTCAGGAAATGCTGTTTGGCTCGTATAATGCATATGCTGTTCCTTGAACATATTCTTCTCTTACCTCTTCGAGCTCCTCCATCACAGTCTCTATCTAAGGAATGCCAAACAGAGAGCAAATCTGTTTATCCCAGATTATCTGGTAGTGTAGACTCAAATAATCCAGTTCAAAGCAGACAATCTGGGATGAGATCCTGGGATATAATGCAGTGTAGATCCAGCCTCAGTGATCAGTATTTATTTGTTTGTTTATTTGGATTTTCAGTTGGCTCCAGTGACTGAGCAGAGTTAAATTTGGTTTGGGAGCTATAACAGAAATAGGTACAGCCAAATTTTGTAGATGGTGGCAGTGGGTGTGGAAAAGCAAAAACTGGAGTGCATGCATAAACATACACACACACACACACACACGGAATTTGTCTCAAAATCCTAAAAAGATCCTTAAAACCTTATGTGTTTTGGCCTTCTTCATGGGGGGCTAATTCAAATCAAGCCTGCAGAATATTTTTTCATCCAAAATCATTTACTAGCAAATAACTATGAACAATGTTATTGTGTTGCTGCAAAGACATACAGAAGTGTCAGAAGTAGGTTAAATTGCAAATCAGCTTTCTACAATAGCAGTTGCACATGTTTCCCGCTAAGTGTCTATATATAGGGCCATTTAAATAATATGCTGCTCAAAGTAAGGCACAAATAAGGCCCAACCTCTGCTGTGGTCAACCGTTCAAGAAGTTCAAACACCTGCCTCCTTCCTCTTGATGCCACCTGCATGTTGCTTCACCTTTTTTTGTGACAGTTATCAGATATGTTACATTAAGGGTTGTATTTAACTTCATAAATCTAAAAGAGACTAAACAATTCCTCTTCTTTCTTTTGCAGTTCACACTGGAGATAAGATAGATGAACTTTCAAGAAAAATTGTCCTGGAAAGGAAGAACATTGGAGACCTTATGAAATTTAATTATATGGTTTTACAGCACCTCAACCAGACCGAATTAATGGGCAATATAGAAAATATTATCACCGTGTAAACAAGACAAGCAAGTCCTGATTTTCAGGCCTATTAACTGAAAAATGCCTTGCTCAAAGCCTCAGGGTGATGGGCCATTCTGTGTAATAAAACGAATTCTCAGTTTACTCTTTTAATTTCAGACAAATTCTGTGCAGCGTGGCCATTTATTCATAATTCTCTGTTTCACAGTTCTTAGGAAAGCGTCAAAAAACAACATGCTGAACACTGAAAGATCTCACTTTCTTATTTTCTACAGTTGCTAGGTTCTTGATCATTTTTGTGGGTGCTGACAGATGAACAGATGAGCTTAGTACACACATTTTATTTGGACATGGTGCATCTTCACTTATATGCAGAAGGTGCAGGATATTTTATTATGATTCATGTTCTAGTGAAGTATATATAGAATACTGAAGAAGCAGTATCAGGTTTGTGCAGGGCTGTATGTATTCATTTTTTAAGTCATTGGTAGTTAAAACAATGTAAAGGCTTGAGGTCCATTTCCATTTGCAGAAGGCTTCAAATCCTAGGGAAGAATCCATTGATGAGTGTATGGTATGCTGTTTCAGAAGGTGCATGACTGATGCGTCAAGCAACCAAAGGGTTCAAAGCAAATGATAATTCACTGGAAGGTACAACATATCATTAGAATTATGGTGAAGCACTTCCTTTCCTTGGAAGTCTAAATGGGCAAAAACAATGTGATTGTTAGGCACTTTAGGGTGGGTAAAGATTGATGCAAAAGTTGTGGACCAAAACTGAATTCCTTTAGGCAGGAAGAGATTCTGGTCCTACCTACACTGGGCTATAAACTCCAGATTATCTGATGTGAACTGGATTATATGACAGTGTAGATCCAGCCTTTGTGGTTCTATAGATGTTCCCAGAAGTCACTCCTCGATGTCTACATGATGTCTAGGGACTTCCGGTTCTTAACATTGGACCACTTCTACTCTGCCTTACAAAAGCCTGATTATCTGGTTTGAACTGGATTATATGGCAGTGTGGACTCATACAATCCAGTTTAAAGCAAAGATCCCTTCTTTTTCTTCTTCCTGGTCATGCAGGAGTCTCTGCTGATGTCAGCATGAAGTGTCTGAAACATCTAGGAGCTCTCTGGAGCACTGCAGCCATCAGGTAGCAGCAACAGTTACAGGGAAGGTAAAGTGATTTGGCTGAACTGTTCTTGGCTAATTTTAGTGTGTAGACACCGCCCCATTGTTGGTTGGGCATGGAGCATGCAGAGACATCCAGAACCAATCATTGTAGACAAGCTCTTGGGCTCCTAACTCGCATCAATCTCACTCAGCAGAGATGAATGCTGAAGATGATAAAAGCTGTAGTAGGTTGTAATCTAACAGTATCTGGACAGCATTCCTCCTGATATCTGTGTTCTATGAATGCCAGGTCAATTATGGCCTGTCCCAAAAGTCATGAGAATGACTTTAATTTTTTTTCTTGAGCACACATGCAATTACAGTTTATCTCCTTCAAAATAGGCTGCTTGTGATTTATTTATTTATTTATTTATTTATCGTGTCATCAGCAACCATACCATTGTGTTACAATTCTAACAGAACAAAACAAACACACAGATTAAAAAGAAAAAGAAAAAAAAAACACACAGATTTTGCAAACTTGGTAGTTGGTTAAATGTCCTTTGACCAGTATCTGGCCACTTGGAGTGCCTCTGGTGTTGCCGCAAGAAGGTCCTCCCTTGTGCATGTGGCAGGGCTCAGGTTGCATTGCAGCAGGTGGTCAGTGGTTTGTTCTTCTCCGCACTCGCATGTCGTGGATTCCACCCTGTAGCCCCATTTCTTAAGATTGGCTCTGCATCTCGTGGTGCCAGAGCGCAGTCTGTTCAGCGCCTTCCAAGTCGCCCAGTCTTCTGTGTGCCCAGGGGGGAGTCTCTCATCTGGTATCACCCATGGATTGAGGTGCTGGGTTTGGGCCTGCCACTTTTGGACTCTCGCTTGCTGGGGTGTTCCAGCGAGTGTCTCTGTAGATCTAAGAAAACTATGTCTTGATTTAAGTAGTTGACGTGCTGGCTGATACCCAAACAGGGGATGAGCTGGAGATGTCTCTGCCTTGGTCCTTTCACTATTGGCTGCTACTTCCCGGCGGATGTCAGGTGGTGCAATACCGGCTAAGCAGTGTAATTTCTCCAGTGGTGTAGGGCGCAGACACCCCGTGATAATGCGGCATGTCTCATTAAGAGCCACATCCACTGTTTTAGTGTGGTGAGATGTGTTCCACACTGGGCATGCATACTCAGCAGCAGAGTAGCATAGCGCAAGGGCAGATGTCTTCACTGTGTCTGGTTGTGATCCCCAGGTTGTGTATTGCAATGCTCCAGTGGGATCCCTTCCCAGGTAATCCTCAGAGCTCGGGATGCTTGTCTGTTCTTAAGGTGACAAAAAACAAAAAAAAAAAAAAATAATTCTTGTGAATGTTTTTTTTTTTTAAACACCAAAAAAAAAAAAATTTTTAATGTTTTTTTTTTTTTAAAAAAATTTTTAAAAAAAAACAAAAAACACACAAAAAAAAAAAAATAAAAAAAAAAAAAAAAAAAAAAGAGAGAAGTGAAAGGCATGTCTGTGTTTTAGATGGATTAGGGATCAGTTGGTTTTCCCTGTAATAGGCAGTAAGAGCACCTAGAGCTTCGGAGAGCTTCTTTTCAACCATCTCAAAGCTCCCTGCTTGAGTGGTAATGGCACGATCATCAGCATAGATGGCGATGACTCTTGCTTTCCTCCAGATTTTGGGGATCTGACAGGATGCAGTGCAGTTGTTCATCAGCTCCAGCAGCCAGCGCCTTGCTTTTGGACCAAAGTTCTTGATTTGTTCCATCCGTAGATCATCCAAGCCAGCTGCTTTGCCATTCTTACATTTGTTGAGAGCCATGTCCAATTCAGTAGATGTAAAAGGTTCATGGAGGTTGTTGTTCTCAATCTCTGGTTGTCTGGCTATTGGTTTCTTTCCTACTTTGGTGGCAAAGTTGGGTTTCCCATTCTTCAGGAGTTGGTGTGCTATCTGATCTGCCTTTATGTTGGCATGGGTATTAGTTTGTGAGGGGTCGTTGCTCAGCCGTCTCAGCAGCCTCCACGCCTTCTGGCTGCTCCTGCCCATGTCGACCTCTGTGATCAACTTGATCCACTGTTCTTTCTTGGCTTCAGAGATGGAGGACACAATGCTCTGCGCTGCCTGAAGGATTTGCTCACTAAATGGGTCTTTGTTGTGGAGCCTGTAATAGTTTTCCAACAAGGCAGCTGTTTCAGGAGTAATGCCCTGAAGGTAGTTGGTTCTGCAGCCTCTCGGTATAGAGGCCCGTGAGCAGGTTTTCACTATTTCAATAAAAATGCTCGTATTCCTCCGGGATTGGCGCGACCGATGTGATCATGTCATCTAACATGTCTGAGAATTTAGTCCAATCTGCCTTTCTGAAGTTGTATCTTCGTTTAAATCGAACTTCTTGAGGCCTTATTGTTGGGAACAGTTGGCATATTATTGGTCGGTGCTGTGTGTTTGGAATTGGTGGTCCCACTGATTTAGTGCATTGCTGTACGATGCTGTCGCTCACAAATAAGAGGTCTGGGTTATAACCTCGGTGCCATCTCCCGCTGTTGTAGGATGGTGGGAGCTTGCTATCATGGATGAGTGATAGTTTGTGCAGTTCAGACCAGGAGAGGACAGCCTCTCCATTTTTATCCTCTTGGGCATAGCCCCATACGTGGCTATGGCTGTTGAAGTCACCAATTACTACCGCCCTTTGGTGCCTGTCAAAGTTCTCGGGGGAGGAGAAGCAGAACTCTTCATTTGGGGGCTTGTACACAGAGGTGATGGTGATGTTATTAAGCTCTACTGTTAGAACCTCGATATTGTTTTCTTCAGTATTGTGGGCACTGCTGACTTGGAGGCCTGGTTTGACAAAGACAGCGCTTCCATACTGCGCATGTGGTCTTTCCGCTACTAGGATCATTCCTGGAACTTTGGGTCGTTTCTGTTGTTCATCCCTGTGTGTTTCTTGGACACACAGCACATTTCTTATCTCGGCACAGTTCATAGAGCAGTTGTTCTTTGGCAGCTGACATGCCTTCGATGTTGATTGAGATTATTGTCATGGTTGGTCCTGAAAAGGACCATTGGTTGTTTTGCTTTCTTGTTTGCATGCTGCAAGTCGTCTCTGGTTGCTTCTGGATCGAGAGAATCAGCCGTCTACGAAGACGTTGCCCAGGGGACGCCCGGATGTCTTGCAATCCTGCGAGGAGGCTTCTCTCATGTCCCCCAAGGCTTCTCTCATGGCTGCTTGTGATCAAATACAGTGATTCCTGAATTACTAGCTCTCTTCACAGCAGTAGAGGAAGCTTTCATTTGAGATGTTGTTCAAAGCCCTCATTGCCACTGATTGGTCATTTCCTACTGTTCCAAAAATGACATCTTTGAACGTAGGTTTAGAGTTTGGAAAAAGAAATCCCATGAAGCCAAGTCAGGGTTCTACAGTGGGTGGGGAGACATCCAGAACAGCCTTCACATGAGCCACATTGTTCTCATTCTTGAAGTTGAGGAACTTTCCTCCAGATTCCTCAGCACTGTGGGAAGACACCAAAACTACTATGCAAATTGCTAACATACTGACCGCTACAAAGGCTCAACTGAGTAAAGTCAAACTGTATGCCTGGGTTCCCCCTTCACATGTCTCTATCCAGTTTCTTTTCCTCAGCCTTCTCCGCTGTCTAAGTGAGTACACCACTCAAACACTTACATTATATCCTGATGACATAGTTACGTGCATTAAAACACGACTGCATAGATGAGGAATACTTATGTGATAATTCTTCACTTTTAAAGCAAACAAAAGACATTTTCTGTCTGAGAGAAACCAGCAAATACTCCCCCCCCCCCCCGGCAAGCTACATAGCACCCAAGGCTGGCCAAGTTGTTTTGGCATCTGAAGCCTATTCCCCTTTCTGACAGTACACTAAATAACTGCCAATTGGCTGTCCTTTCATAGTYCCCAAAGTCAGCTGCCCAAGGATATTGTCCCAGTTTGCTCAGTAGTAAGGACAGACCTATACTGAAACAAGTATTGGGGGGGGGGGGGGGGATATGGCAACTCAACAGTGGTAAAAATCAG